TTATTATTATTATTATTATTATTATTATTATTATTATTATTATTATTATTATTATTATTATATACTTTTGCTAATGCATTTGATTCAGTCTCCAAGTGGGCCAGTTATTATTAACAAAACTGCACCATATTTAGATAATAACTAGATCTATTGCCCTTTAATTCATTGATACTGAATACTGTTTCTGTTTCATTTATATATATATATATATATATATATATATATATATATATATATAGTAAAAGTAATAAATCCATTGTTATATAATCCAAATGGATCCTAGTAATATAAAATATTAAATCTGATCCACAAAAAGAGCTCAATGTATTTACTATATAGAGCAAATAAATAGTAGTAACCCATAAAATCCAAAATTACCTCATATAGGGTATAGACTTATTCAACCCTGGTATACAGACTGAGTTCGTGTCGGAAATAAAAAAAGGTTATTTTAATAAAATTATATAGATAAAGTTAAGTTTTAAAAAATACAAGTTCCTACTTAAAAACACTCTTCCAAAGATAAATTATACTTGAAAGTAAAATATATTTTATAAATTAAAAATATGTTATATTTAGAAAATTTATATTAAAAATAAGTAAGATTATATTATATTTATCAATTAAAAAAAACTTAAAATATATAGATAAAAAGGTGTAAGTGATAAAGGAATGAGAGTTCTTAGAACCCCCTTTTCGTTCCTTTTTTTTTTCGTATTTTGTTCTCTCTTTCTTTCTTTCTTTCCGCAGCTAGCTAGTCCTCTTCAACAACCTTACACCATAAACAGTTTGAAAAAATCCCGTGAATTTTAAATTTAAATTATAGCAACGGATTACTAACTAGATAGATAGATAGATAGATAGATAGATAGATAGATAGATATTGCTATAAACGTTAGTTATAATGGGCACACGTGTTTGAGTTGCGATCGCAGTTTCCTCATATTTTATTAAACTATGAAATTAATAACAATCGGCCTTAATTGAGAAGTCCTGCTAAAGAAAATCTGTACCTCCAACTTGAATGGAAACTGCATATCTTTTTTTCCATCAGCGAAACTTTGTCAGGACAAGGGTTTGAATGACCTATAAGGAAAGCACGTTTTCTCGTTGGGACTTCTAATAATCTAGATCTTCTGGCTTCAGTTTCGTGCCTGAAACGTACACAACATATTTTTTCAAAAGAATTTTTTATCCGTCATCTCTAAACGTTATTTTAATGGATACCCGTGTTTGAGTTCCTAATCGTGTTTTTTATTATTATTATTATTATCATTAAACAGTGAAATTAAAAACGACCAGCCTAACTTTAGTTGTATACACTAAAAATAATGTTTATAGTTATAAGAAAAAATCCTTAAAAAATAATATATATATATATATATATATATATATATATATATATATATATATATATGAAGAAATATAGTTTTAAGTGTGCTATATTTATGGGATAAAGTGCTCAATATCAGAGATAGAGCGTATGCAAATATAAAAGGGAACATTAAAGTCAACACAGATTGCGTCTAGCATGAAACAGCCTGTCGCCTCTAAGTTCTGGATTCAATGTTCACTTTTATACATACACACACACACACACACACACACATATATATATATATATATATATGTGTGTGTGTGTGTGTATGTCTGTGTGTGTGTACACAAACTCCTGGTCAAAATCTTAAGAACAGATAGAAAAGGATTAAAAAATATATAAAATACTGTTACTTTAATCAAAATATATTTGGGAAACATTTACATTTAATTAGAAAATGTAGTTTATCAACAAACAAATGAAAATGTTAAGCTTTTAATTAATTAATTTAAAAAAACACTGGAAAAAGGATTTTTTGGTTGGTCATATAAGAACATGTGTGGAAAAAACAAATTACTGGACAAAAATTTTAGAACTAGTCAGTGTGCTCATAGCTTCAGGCGTGTAGACATCTACGTAGCTCATTTCCAGTATTAAATTTCAGATATCAAGTTTGAACTTTGCTAAAATTTTACCCTTAGCTAATTTAAGGCTAAGGGTAAAATTTTAACAAAGTTCGAACAGGGTAGAATTGTTGAACTTCAAAGACGTGATCTTTCGCAACGAGCCATTGCAAATGAAATTGGTTGTAGCAGAACTGTCATTGCTAACTTCATTAAAAATCCAGATGCGTATACTTCTAGAAAAATCAAGCGGTTGCCTCAATAAAATCTCACCATCTCTAGACAGACGCATTAGGCGAGAAGTTAAGAGAGATTCAAGCCTAACATCAAATCAAATAAAAGCGAATACAGATGCTGAATGCAGCTCTCGAACAATTCGACGGCATTTAAATAAGAAAGGGTTTAATACCTTGAAACGGCTGCAGAGACCTCGCCTTCTTCTTCGCCATAAAACCTCCCGTTTACAATTTGCTTCCGATTACCAAATTTGGGATGTGGGTGGATAAATGGAAGAAAGTGTTGTTTTCAGACGAGAAAAAATTCAATCTTGATGGGTCATACGGTTTTCAGCGTTACTGGCATGAAAAAGATGTTCCAAAAGAAATTTTCTCAACACGACACAGTGGCGGTGGATCAATTATGCCCTGGGGTTCATTTTCGTAGAATGGAACTCTTGAGTTACGGGAGGTAAAAGGTCGTCAAACAGCTGCTAGTTACATTGACATGCTAAGAAAGGCATCGCTAATTACTGAAGGCCCTCAAATATGTGGAGAAAACTGAATGTTCCAGCAGGACAATGCTGCAATCCACAAAGTTCTCCAGATCGAAACCCCATCGAGAATTTTTGGGGATAGATGGCAAAGAATGTTTATAAACATGGATCGCAATTTGAAACTGTGGATGCTCTTCGTGCTGCAGTTTATGCATCCTGGGCGAGCATCCCAAGCACCCTCATGCAGAAGTTAATAATGTGCATGCCAAAGCGAATTTTCGAAGTAATTCACAAATATGGAGGATATACGGAGAATTAAATTGTCGTTGTGACTTATTTTTTTCTGTATTTGCTATTTTTATTTACATGGTCTTATCTTTATGACCAACCAAAAAAATCCTTTTTTCAATGTTTGTTTAAATCCATCAATTAAAAGCTTAAAATATTCACTTGTTTGTTGATAAACTACAGTTTCTATAAATGTTTCGCAAATATTTTTCGATTAAAGTAATATTATTTTATTTTTTAACCCTTTTGTACCTGCTTGACAGGACAGATACACGAGAGATCCGCTTAACCAATAAAAAACAAACAAGACAAAAATAAAAATACCATAATTTTCTTTTATTCTCCATATTTAATTTCCTGATGAAGCTTTAATAAAAGTGAAACATGTTAATGTTTTTTGTTTGTTTCTTGTCCTATTCTGTCGGATCCTAATCCATATTTGATCTATATTTGATTACTATTCATATATATATATATATATATATATATATATATATATATATATATATATATATATATATCACCTTCCATTCCGATCGTAAGGAGGCTAATCCCTGCTATGTTTTTGTATTTGATTTTTTATATATATATATATATATATATATATATATATATATATATATATATATATATATATATATATATAATTTTCTTTTTTGTATGTTTTTGCCACTTTTTGGTCTTAACGCTAATTCTGTTATGTTAGAAGAGATGTTGACTGATGCTGACTCTTGTCTCTGAGTGATTTAAAACTGGATGAAATACGAGTATTGAAATCCGTGATGGCATTCCTGAAAATAAGTAATCGGATCATAACGAGGTTTTGTTAATGACTAAATAGATAAAAAGCCAAGGAAAAGAAAATGAACGAGAGAAAGCTAATAAGAACAGAATCTACAATCATATCCATTCGATGTCTTCTTGAAGTGACGTAATAGTAAACAGAGACTTCATTAAAAGACACAACGTATTCGCCATTGCAACGTGATTAAGTTTATATGAATTCATAAGTTATACACATTATGAAAGATGTTATTTCAACGCGTCTTTCCATACAATTCTCGTACCGATTATGAATTTTAAATGGTGGAAAAAGATGCATTTTCATCATTTGATGCACTTTTATTTCTGGAATGACAAAATGCTATACAAATAGCAAATGATATGCTATATTTATAGAAGTAAATTTAGAATTTGTAAGTGGTTCGAAAGGTTCAGAAGTGGAATTTTTAATCGAGAACACCGAGAACGTTCCGGCAGGCCAACAATCGTTGTTGATGATCAATTGAAATGCTGATTAAAAATAAAGCATGTCAGAGATACTCCACATATTTCATAGGAGCGTTGTAAGGCATTTAAAAAAACACTTGGATGAATGGCTAACTACAATGTTTGAATGCCTCACGATTTATCGGAACAAATTTAATGAATCTCGTTTCCATCTGCCATTTTCTGCATTAACGGAACAAAAACGGTCAATTTTTAAAAATACCGGGCGATTAAAAATGGGTTGTTTTCAACAATGCAGAGCGATAAAGATCCTAAGGGAAACGAAATGAGTCACTGTTAACCACTTCAAAAGCTGACTTGCACCCAATGAATGTAATGCTATTTAGAAGGTAAGAGTGGGGGCTCTTGATTCGCAAAATCAAACACTGAATTTAGACAAGTACTGTTCCCAGTTGGACCCATCGATAAAGCGTCCAGAATTTGCTAATCAAAAGGGTGTTGTCTTCTCTCAGGACAACGCCTCGACAGAAATTGGTAGTGCTTGGCTAGGATATCCTACTACACTTGCTGTATTCACATAATCTTGAATTACTAATTACCACCTATTTCGAGCTCTAATAATAATAATAATTATTATTATTATTATTATTATTATTACTGTTATTCTAGAAAATTAGTTTTGTTTGAGTTGATTACATGAGTCTCTCAGTAAAAAGGGCTCTCAAATGGTGGTTGCAAGAACGATGATAGTGATAATGATGCTGACGATGGTAGTGATATCATTTGATGTTGCAGAAATTTTGGTGATAGTAATGGTGGATTAGTTGTGTTAAAGAAAGAAAGAAAGAAAGAAAGAAAGAAAGAAAGAAAGAAAGAAAGAAAGAAAGAAAACAATAAGTAGATGAACGAAAAAGAAGAGCAATAAATAGAAAGGAAGAAGAAAATGAGAAAAAGAAGTGAAACAAAATAAAGAAGAGATTTTTTTAAACTGAAAAGTAGAATGAAGAAATAGAAGAAAAGTATTAAAATAAATAATGTAAAATAAGAATAAAAAGTTGAAGATGAAAAGATTGAAGAAGGAGGAAGAGATGTGGAAGATATTGAATAACAAGGAATAAGAGTTATAGAAGAAGAAGAAGAAGAAGAAGAAAAATTTCTTAATGATGATTCGTTGTCGACTTGAATGTCAAAAGAAAAGACACAAATATCTAACAATCTGAAACTGGCAGAATTTATTGTTATTATCGCAACTCAGGTGAATTCTCTGCTTTTATTTTTTCTTGCTTCTATATATTTTTTATCTAACCAGTAATGCAAACCGCTAATATCTCGAGTTCGAACCTCATTGGAAGATCTGTGCCAAATTAAGGGACACTTACTAAATATGTTGGCGCCACTTCCAAAGATAGTTATCAATATCTTCTAACAGATATTCTACAAGAACAATAACCAAGCCTTTCACTGAGGTCGATTTTATTGTTAGTCTATTCCAGACAAATTAGTTAAGTAAATGTTTGAGTACTTGATGTAATGCATCATTAACAAACAACTAAAATAAACTCTTCGTTATTGTATGAGCAATGCGATCCTCGCTGCTATGGATTTCTACCAAGCTAATCTCAGTTTTGTTAAATATCTATACGGAGATACTCTCACGAACTCATACACACGAATATACGCGATCACACTTACACGTTTGGTGTGTACATCAAAACGCAATACACCACCATTCTTTAATAAATTTTCACTCAATACAAAACCCTAAGTGTCACGCAGGGTAGAGGGCTATTGAATGAGGATGTTGTGTCGACGTAAGAGGAAAATTAGTGCAGATTATGTCGGATAAATAACAGTTGATTCTATATTTGAAGAGGTTAAGATTATAGTGATCAGGAAAGCATCCACTGGGGAGTTCATTCCACAAAGTATCGGTTCTTGAGAAGAAGCGTTCTGAACGGAACTTCCTTATTACGACCAAAAGATGGAAGCGGGATTCGACCTTGTGCACGCGGCCTGGAAGGAACTAACTACAGAAACATAGATAAATAGATACGAGAAACCTGGACATGTGCACATAATAGTTCTTATTATGAAGAAGTGGAAGATGTCCAGAAATATATCCACTGAAGAGAGGATGGTAAAATTTTCATATTCATATTTGTATGAGTAATAGATCTTGAGGTTTTGCTTATAATATTTGTCTTAAAAATATTCATACTAACTCATTTTCCATGATTTCAAACTTTTATTATGCAAACAAAATATAATTATTTATAAATAGCTTAAAAGTCGCTCTATCGGGCGGCATTAAAGCTATCTCCTGCGAGGGCTATTTTTATTTCATGGGTGACTTTCACTGGATTTCGCAGTTAATTTCGATTATTCCCAAATTTATTTACAAGATATAAAATTGTTATCGTACAAATCTAACTGTCTTAAAAAAAAATCACGTAAAAAATCCTACTAAACAATCACAGTAATGAAAACTTGGGAATCCAAAATTTCGCGGGTCCGAATGCGACTCGGAATGTTTTTAATTTACTCAAAATGGTATGATACGTTGAACTACGGCCTCTATGAGTAAAGATGAAAACACGGATAATTTTATTTTGAAACACTGTAATCTGAGAACAGTATTTTTTCATTTGCACATGTGCTATTGAATGTTAGATAATTGTGTCCCTTTAATTGTTTTTATCAGTAGAAACGAAGATGGCGGAATCCAAAAACAATCGCAGTAATGAAAACTTGTGAATCCAAAGATTGCAGGTCCGGGTCCGGGTCCGGCCTGGGATGTTTTTAATTTGCTCATGGAGTCAGCCTAATTCCAAAATAGTATGATATGATGGGCTACAGCCTCTATCAGTAAATTTGAAAAAGTGTGACACATTGACACGTCAGTTATTACACAGATTATATTAAAAAAATACATGTTCGACGGAAATATATATCAATCAATTTATCATGATTTTGTCTGTAAGGCTTACTTTGATTATTTTCATTTCTCAGCAGTCGCTTTCCCACAGACGCAAATCGAAATCCTATCACTACTATATCGCTATTTTCATAGCTAATGATCAGATGAAATCAATTCTTTAGCTTCACTAGTTCCGGATCCCAAATGTAAAGAGAAAGTTTCACTCATACAACTTTTTTCCCAAGAACTGATGTTTAGTGAAACAAACTCCTGCATGTTTGCTTCCCTACAATCACACTTTTCATTCTTCTCTGATCTTTGTTCAACTACTTCGCAATTTCCAAAATTGTGTTCTCATCACTCGACAACTCCACAATTGTTTATATTTTTACATGACATATATATATATATA